AAAAAAAAAAAAAAAATTAGGTGGTTTTTATAATGTGCTTTGTAGAGGAAAAGTACAGGGTAAGTAATGGCTCTTCTGCTTTTGGGGTTGGTATCAATTGTCTCCACCCAAATTTGGTGCCATATGTCAGGCTACAAGCTCTGGTTAGCTCATTTGCAACCTGCGTGGAAGAATACTGTCAGCTGACATGAAGAATGTTTTCTACACCTCTCAGAGTCTGCACTGGCTGTGTTTTGTGGGGCTGTTTTTCTTTCTGCACTCAGTGACCGTGGAGTCATAATTCGCAAGTATGTGAGAGATGGGTTTAACACTTTAAACATGCTTGATGCATGTGTGTTACTAAAAAAGATTATAGTTGTAGAATAAACCTTTATCTTTAAAGTGAGATCTCCATGAATTGCATATGATTTATCCACCTTGTGTAGTACTATCGGTGAATTGTCCTCTGAGACTGGCTCCTTCCCATCACCCGTATATGAGCCGCTCTTCTTCTCCCTGCCCTCTATTTCTCCATCTCTTCATGCACCATTTCTTTCACAAAATGGTAGGGGTAGAAGGTATGGAAAGTAATTACAGTATAACCTCAATATAACTTAGAATAAACATAATTAGGGAGGACAAATTACTGCACAAATTATAGTATATTCTAAAGTCAAACATGACTATTTAAGGGATCATCTGAGCAACTGCTTTCCTTCATTAGCCTGGACAATCTGTGGTTGAATGTATACAGTTATTTATTGTGCCTGTCAAAATTATCGGGGGAATTAACTTTAATGATTTACCACACAGCTTTATTAAAATATAATCTTGTTCTACAAATAAAAGAATGTGATGGAAAATAGTGAATTACATTTTGATTTAATCACTCTTTATCGATTAATTGTTTGGACTCAGATAGTTGTGCAACTATTTGGTGATGCTGTTTATATGTCTATTATAACATTTCATTTAAAATTATTTTTCCTTTGTAGTTTCATCATTAATTCTGGTGAAAAGCATAATGTGTCAGGATTTTTATATTTTATAATAATGGGTATGATTGTCTAACTAAGATTCTTTGTGAAAGTAAATTCCAGGGATTTAGAAATCAGAGTTTTTAAAGGAACGTCATGCACATACAGATAGTTGTTATTGTTATCCTGTGCACACGACTAGGTATAGTTCCTCTTGTTTATAAAACAAACATATAAAAAACTCTTTGAAATATATATGAAATATTTCATAATATTATTTTCAATAAAGCTGAACAAAGAACTTGTACAGCTATAGTCATAAACTTTTAAAATAAAATCAAGTATTACCTCAGATTATAGACCTAACAACCTAATCTTCTTTCTATAGATTTAAACTCTAATTATTTATAAGAATGGATCATATTTTGAAATAGAAGATTTTTGATTGAGAGTTTCAGATATATGCACGTTATCTCTTTTTTTTTTTTTTGAGACAGAGTCTCACTGTGTTGCCCAGGCTAGAG